AAAAATAAAATTAACTTTTCCACAATTTCATTATAACAGACAGAAGGCAAGCTCACATTTTTTTTTTTAGATGTTACATCAGGAGATTTTGCTTTACATCTTCTTAAATTCATTGCAATTATAATAAAAGTATATTCATAGGAATCAAGTTAAACAAAACACTAGCTTACAATTTTATTTAATGTTAAAGCAGGACATTTGGCTTTGTGTTTCTTCAAATTGGTTGTGGAATTGAACGCGAGAGAACAGAACTTACAAACATACAGACCCTGTGTGGCATGTCGTTTAGTGTGTTTCACAAGCTGCCACTGCGTGTGAAATGAAGATTCACACATTGTACATTTAAATAATTTAACTGGCTCATGTCTTGCCCGATGATGATTCAACGCAGTTAAACCAGGATAAGTTTTCCCACAAATATCACATATGTAAGATTGTAAAGTTCCAGAGCAAATTGATTTATGAACACTGAGAGCATTCTTACTATTGCACTGCTTACCACAGTCGGAACATTTCAAAGATGAAGGATCTGTATGCGTTAGCTCATGTTCTGCTAACTGATACTGACGAGTGAACTTTTTATCACACAATGTACATTGAAGTCTAGTATCATCATGAACTTTCATGTGTCTAGTTAAGTAATGTTTTATACTAAAAGTCGCACCACAAATGGCACATATAAAAGGCTTTGAAGTTGAGTGAGTAATTTTTATATGTCTCTGTACCTGAAATTTAAATCTGAAGCTTCTTGAGCAAATATGACATTTATAACATTTATGAGAAATTTTTTTCACAAACTCATCAGTAGGATCAGGAAGGAGTTTGAGCCAGTTCATCTTCCCATCATCTATTATTATATCTACAGCTACTTCTTTTATATCACAGTCATCATCATTGGATACCACAGCAGGGCAAGCATCAGTACTCGGTAGTTCATTTGATATATATGAAGAATTTGGAGCCTGAAGAGACAGTGTTTCAATTCCTCTTCTAAAGGATGACTGTTGAGAATTTTCAGTCGGGGGGCATGACATTCGTACTGTGGCCACATTAGGGTCTAAATCAATAACAGGGGATATTCCTAGACTTATTTCATCAAAGTATGTGTTAGAAGAATTCAATGTTCGAGATATTCTGGGGGGAGTGTCACTTTCTTCTGGTATCTGAACTTGAAGAGGAGTGAAAATACCCTGAGGAATATTAAGATTACAAGGGATGTGTGATGTGTTACTGTCAGGCGAAGGTAAAAGTTTGGAACCTGAAATCTTAAAATTGGAGGGCATGCAAAAGTTGTCAAGAACAGATGTTGATGGCACATCTAATGAAACATCATAAGAGGGAGGTGCTGTCTGAATGGACTTTACTACATTGGTACAATCAGTTTGTTTTGGAGGGAGAGTCACAATTGGGGTATTTAGTTCACTTCTATTATCTCCTTCATTACTGTTCTCATCTCCACTTAGTAACTGAGAAATCTCCCAGCTCCATGAATCGCATACTGATGATAATGGACTTAAAAGGCTGTTTGGAAGATCCAGGGAACTAGCTTGTGATAGAGAGGACATTCGACCACTCTGAGGAACACCTTCACTACCTAATCCTTGCTGGACTAGTTGTTGAATAATTTCTTCTTCTTTACTTTCAGCGCAAAATGCTTGACGAACTTCATTCAGAGAAAACAGGCTGATGAGGTCATCAAACTTGATAGCTTTCTCAGCTGTTGTTGGAGGGAAGACAATTTTAACTCCACCCATGTTGCGCTGGAACTTGATTTCACCTGACGCACCAACCACCTTGGCATCAACTGTTAACACAGTGTTTGCCTCATTTTGCACTCTGAGAGAATCCATCTCAGAGCTCACATTTCCCTGAAAGCTTGGTAATGATCCTAATGTCTGGTCTTGAATTATTGAATGATTGGCTGAGGTAAAAGCCTGACTTGAAATATTTTCCACTAATTGATGTTCAAATGTATGTTGAGTTAGAGACTTGTCACTATGAACTACTACTGATTCATCTCCAAACCCACAGGATAGTTTAGGAACCTCTGCCATTAGGTTATTTTCTGCACAATGTTCGTTATCACCAGGTTTGGAAACAGCTGTGTATTCTAACTCATTATCTTCCCTTTCTGAAGCAGTTTTAACAGGTGGTAACTGTTCCTCAGATAAGGGAAATTCGTTAATAGGAAGGTGGTTCCCTTGGTCTAATGAGAAGTCTTGTAGACTAAAACTAGGAGATGTTAAAGATCTAGGTTCTGAGCAGCATGACAAATGAGCAACTGATGGCTGGCTATCTGTTTCTCCACATAAAAGAACATCCATTTCTTTTCGAAAGCTTGAGCTATTTTTATCAATATCATCAAATAATGAAAGACCTAAGGTGCTTTCAAGAGGCACTTCCCCACTCTGCTCACTGTCAAGTGGCTCATACAGCTGTATTGGGGTAAGAGGTGGTGGTAAAGTTGTCTCAGGTGCTCGTTCCTCTTCAGTATGATTGCTGTTTGATCCGACAGACCTGGAAGGACAAAATAGTGAAATATCAGGTATGAATATCCTGAGCTACTTGTGTCAAGCACTGTACAAAAATAAGAATCTCCTCACACGTCAGAGTAAACAGTTAAACGAAGGATGATTAAATGGTCACAACCATGATAAGATAGAACCATCAAATGCAAAACAAATTCTTACTATTTTATTTACTTCCTCACAGTAAACAGAAACTTAAGTCATTTACAAATTTTCACTACATATAGAAATGAGCCTTATCTACAAGTACTGGTGTGCAAGTTCAGTTTGTTACTTTCAGTACCACGTGACATTTTGATGGGATTCCTAGAATTGTTCGGTCACTTAAGCATTGACATTTGACAAGGTCTATTCATATCCACCTTCCACCATGTCAACCTCAACCTCCTCCCCGTCTCCCTCCCCTTCCTCAACATCAGAATACTCGAACTCCTCATTATTTTCGGTCCCTAAGTCATCACTAGCAGACTTCATCAAGAACTTGGAGCAGGTTTTACGATGATTGTGATAAAAAGCAAATACTCTGAATTTTTTTCCACAAGCACAAAACAGAAAGTTCTGTTCTTTAGAGTGAGCAGCTGCTTTATGGGCACGAAGTCTACTTCTTGATTTTATTACTTTCCCACATTCGTTACATTTTATACCTCCTAAGTGAGTAAAGCGATGTTCATTCAAACGGCCTCCTGAAGAAAATGCTTCACCACATATATCGCAGACTACTTTCTTTTCTGAGTGCAGATCTAGTTGATGTTTGACACAGTTGGCTTTTGTGTAAAAGCCTTTGCCACACGTGCTGCATTTAAATGGAGGTTCTGTTAAAGTGTGGCGCAATTCATGACCTTTCAAAACTTCAATTGACCTAAACTTTGCACCACAGATACTACAAATTAAATCTGGAGCTCGAACATGTCTCAACCTTATATGGGCTGCTCTAAGGAAATTTGTAGCAAATTTTCGACCACATTCCTTACACTGATAAGCACAGCTATCAGTCATGTGTTTGTTGATTACATGATATTCACAACGTTTCTTGTCCACATAAAGGACATCACATATTTTGCATCTAAACTGTGGTGGATCAGTGGGAATGTCTTCTACTTGAACAGTAGCCTCTGGGCAAGAAGATGGACGACATCTTCTTTTATGCTTTCTTACAAAAATTCCTTTCTTCTTATGTTGTCGTAACCAACTATTCTGAACAACCAAAAGTTTATCATTTTCCTCACTATTATTTTGGGTTTCTGGCAAGGATACTTTAAATTCTTTAAAAGTGGTCTCAGGGTAGGAACGCACATGAAGACCAGACCCTAGATCTACAGGAAAACCTGTATAGCTTGAAATATCAGGAAAGTTTATATGACCCTCCACACCAATGGTTGGAGGGGTAGCCACATTTTTAGACACATGCATTACAACAACTGGAGGTGTCGGTATTTGATCTAATGGAATTTTTTCCACCATGTCCAGGTTAACAAGCTCTCCATTTTTCAAAATAAGGTAGGGAACAGAAGTTGCAGGCAGTGAGGGAGGTTTTCTCTTCTTTTTTTTCTTAGTATTTTGGACAACTCCAACTTCCACAGCCACAGTTTTATCCCCTGTCATAATGAAAGCCCGCCCCTCTCCTCTTGAAGGGTTTAGGGTTTTGGTTGGGTCATTATTAGCCATGACAGACAAATCACCCTTTTTCTTTTTTGATGGGGATTTGGCTTTAACAGGAAGTTTCTTTGGTCTAATTACAGGTAATGCGTTTTCTGGAATAAGCAAAGGAGTGTTTTCTTCTGCCATAATAAAAACCCGTCCTTTTGCACCACTACTAGTTGCTACTGATGGAAGTTCCACAGCCACCCTTTTCCTCGCAACATTAAATGATTCAATTCCTTGTTTAGTTTCCAAACGCCTAACAAGTGGTGGAGGTTCCATTGACAACTTGTTCTGAACTACAGTAGGCGATCCGGTTGGCTTCAGAGTATTTGCAGATTTTTCATTCTTCTTTGATGTAGATAATTTTTCAGAAGGTTTGGCCTGGTTTGGAGAATATCCCTTAACAAGTTTGAGTAAGGAAGATTCTGGCAATCTTGACAGTTTGACGAACGGAAGAAGTAGTGGTGATGTTGATGGTGCGGCTTTGACAGTGGGTGATGAGGAAGTGTTTGTTTTAGCTTCCAAAATTTTAACAGATGGAGCTTGAGTAGATGTTTTCTGAGATAGAGGTTTCTTAATCGGAACTAAGGGAGGAACTTCCAGAGGTACTACTGTTTTTGTAACTATTTGAACAAGAGGGGGTGGCTCAGATGAGGACACCAAACTTCTAGAGGTCTGAGTACAAGAAGAGCTTGAGCCACTACTATATGATAAACAATTATCGACAATTTTACTAATAGGTGCAGTTATATGCATTTTGGAGTTTTGAACCTGTTTGGCCAAGGGTAATACTAGGGGATCTTCTTTCTGATTATTCAAACGACCAATAGTTTTTCTTTTTCCCTCTTGTAGAGAGTTAGAATTAGTCAAATTGACTTGCAATACATCCTTTTTCTTCCCAGGTGAAGAATTTCTCACAGGAAGTGTTTTCTCTCTCTCAGAGGCAGCAAATGAACTGCAAAGGAAAAATAAATTATATGGAAAAGTGTTGATTTTTAATGGAGCAAGTCTATTTGATAATTAGATTAGAAGCAATTCAGACTTGTAACCACTAGAAGTAATGGTGTGGCATTTGTTAATACAGAAATGCTTAGGGCAGAAAGACAAATTTTAAGAAGTATCCCAAGCTCAATGTACTTCAACAACTCAGAAAGAAAGGCCATTCCATTCTGTTTGTCCTCTGAAGAAATCTGTCGGTTAAAATTCAATATTCCACAACTACCACTTTCTGTTTCTGTTGTATGCTGCTGATTACTTTTGTTCTGTGTGGTAAAATGGATATAACCAACGCCTCACTTTTTTTTTCTCCAAAATGGTGCAGTATATAAGTCCTAAGTCCTATCTTTAAAACCCTTAAGCAATAAGTAAAATGTAAAACTTTTTTCACCATAATATATGCTAGGTTTTAGTGACAATAGTAAACTGATATAAGATATTGAACTTTATATCACACCAATTGCATTGAATAAATCAATGAAAAAGCAGAAAAAAGAAAAATGTCCTGAGCAAGCGTCCAGTTTCACCTAATAAAACTTCCATACAGGAAATTTCAGAAGGCCATAAACAAGCTCCTAGTTTTTCCCAAAACCAGGTCTAGGTCACAAGATCACAAAAAACCTTTAAAAAAATGATACACTACTGTTGTCTAATTAGATTATTAGGACCTCCCTTTGAGAAGAGATCAATTAAGAATGGTTTGGAAAATTGTTACTTGAGTAGCTACTTAAGTACGTTGCAACTTCAAGCTATAAATATCTCTTGAAATTAAGTGCAAAATCAATTATGAAAAAAAGGGCACCGACATGTTTCAAAATAAGTTAACATTGCTATTGTTGACCTAAACCCAGGTTGGTTTGAAACCAGAATCTACTTGTGTACTCACCGTCTATCTTTTTCTGTATCTGCTAGAATGTATTCTTCTTCTTCTGGAATCTCATTATTTTCTTCAGTTTCCATGTACTCAACATTCTCATCGTCAACATTCTCATCAGCTCCACCTTCAGCGTCCTCATAGTAAAAGTCATCAGCTTCATCTTCATGTTCAGTAACAGCTTCAAATTTTATCTCCTGAACAACAAATATATAGTTATCTTCACAGCAGGAGGAGCAAAAACCACTTAGGTGTTTAAATGCTATAAACTTACGGGTGGATCGGCGTGAATTGTTTTCTGCATAGCAGACTCAATACATAGGAACTCCTGCAGTCTTTCTTGAGTATCATGACATTGTTGATAAAATGAGGTGTAGTCAACCAGCTTATCACGGCATGCATTGCAAATCCCTGATGGAAGACCATCATCTTGCGAAATCTACAAGAAAATGTTTTTCAGAACAAAACTTAAATTATTAAAGAGATCTCTGAAATTAGATGTGGTTTCAAAAATTCAAAATAAACATTTATGCTAGAGAAGAATCGTGGAACAAACAACAACCAAAAAATATAACTGTTTGTAACATAAGAAACACACATAACCTATACTTTACACTGTTACAAATGGCTTGAGCAAATAAACACCGAATACTAGAAATGGTAACTTACCGCTATTCTTATTGAAAGTTGGATTTTAGAGAGTAAGTTTTCTTCTTGTTCTGTCTCATCGAACAAATTGGAACATTCAACATCAACTTCACCACACAAGCGGCAAAGGTTTGACAAACCAGCTTCGAGATCTTCCATTTTCGAAAGACAGAACACACATTCCGTTCAGTGGAAAAAATGATTTAAGTTTTTTCAGTCAATGAAGTCATGTTTCTACGTGTACGGTGCAAAATATTTAACATACTGACACTAAGAATCTTAAATCAACAACATCCAAGCCTTGCGTTCAGCCGTTCATAATTGATTTTACTTTCAGCTACCCCGCTAGATGGCGCAGTCAAGCGCGGCACTTTTAGGCGCCAGGTTTCAATTTGAGTTTAAGTAGTTGTGAGTTTGAGAAAGTAGTGAGACTTGAGAAAGGGTGCGAAAAGGCGACCCTTTCTTAAGAGGCCACGGATGAAAACTTGAATGAAACTACTGTTAACTGCTCATGTTATTCAAATCAGCTAGCAGTTGATTAAAAGAAAAAATATTTGTTTGCATCATTTGTATTTCCTCTTTCAACAGAAGAAATTTATTTAGGTTTTTTCTTGACATCTAAGCAACAGAATTTTTCTCAAAAATGAGGAACTTGTTACAAATGATTTTGGAAAGGTTGGTGTCTAACGGTTTAAATTTCCCAGACGAAACATGGGCAATTGTGGACAAAGCTGTTATGCCCAGTAGGTTGCATGGTGAAATTCAAGATTTACTTGGCAAGAGTTGACCCGTTTATTTTCACTCATCAGTATTGCTTCTGACATGTTCCTCACTCCCAAATCATTTAATAGAGACTTACTACAAAACTTTGACTTGACCAGACCATATCATATCATATCACTGGTTTTCATGAGAAATTATTTACAGTCCATTTTTTTTTACAATTTCAGCATCTATTCAAGTTTACTAGTGCAATAGATACTTTACAACAATGGTTTAACAAATAACAAATTTTATAAATAAGAATGTGATTAACAAAACTGGAGAACCAGACTTAAAAAAAATAATATTGAAACATCTATAAAACAATTAAAATATATAATGGCTTGAGTAAAATTACAGGGTCAATAAGGAATTCATATTAATTATGAAGACACACCAACATTTTTGTGAGGCATGGCATTCCAAGGTGTTGTGCCACGAATCATCGGCTCTAATGTGTGGCTGTAGATGTCAGCAGGAAGTTCATCTAGACCAACCTCCCTATCTGCCTTAGCTTTCTTTGTTGCTTCATCCACCTCTGATTTGATTTCAGCATCCAATTTCTGATAAAAGAAATAACAGTAAGTTTTCACACACACCACAAAATAAATT